ATATATATATATATATATATATATATATATATATATATATATATATATATATATATATATATATATATATATATATATATATATATAAATTATATCTAAAATAAAGAGCAATTAATTTGTTTTCACTCGTGTCGGACACAGAAGCAGAACAATTATACAAATTGTGTGCGTTAATGTTTTTATTATGTCTTTCTAATTGAGTGAGCGGTGATCCTCATATGAGGACATTCGATGGGCGTGCTTATACATTCCAAGGCACATGCTGGTATCATCTATTTAGGTACTACACCGACATTCCTTGTTTTGAAGTCACAACTATGTTTGAATCAAGAGAAGATAGTACACCGGACCAAGTTAGAACAAGAATTACCGCATTCAACGTAACAGTTGGAAATCAATACGCGATCGTTAATGGACTGGATGTTACTACAGTAAGTTGTCAATATGTAGTATTATGATATTGTGAAGTCAATTTACATTTATTTATGAATTTAGCGAGCATAATAAAATACTGAATAATTAATATACTTACTCATTACAAAGGGAAGTACCGGTGGACAGATGACTGACGCAAAAGTTATAACAATCCAGGAAGACGATAAACATATAAAACTTCACTTCATTTCGAAGGACACAACATTCCCTTTTAATTGGACTCTGAGAAAGCATGTATTAGATGTATCCTACAATGGCTCTTTTTACAAGGGGAAGCTATGCGGTCTGATGGGTAATGCAGATGGTGATACTCGCAATGACTTCCAGAAACCAGACAGTAACATTGCCAAACAGGTTCTTGAATTTGGAGAAACTGGAAACTGCATGACAAACAGTAAGTTTATTTCAGTATATTAATATAAATGTTTGCTCCACGAATATTAATTAAACATTAATTTAAGATATTGAAAAGATAATTTTTATTTCAAAATTCATGAAACTATTATTGTTTTTCCACTCTTATTATAGATGTTTCTAGGGATTCAACAACTGACGAAAGGACAAGCGTGGATACAGCCAGATTAGTCATTTTCTGGTGATGGTTATATGAAAAATACACAACAATTCTCATACTTCTATTTAAAATTAGGCAGCATGAGTATTATACCTAATGACACTATAACACGTGGTTGATCACAATCTTCGGGAAATTAGTAGATAAGTAAAACATGTATTGATAAACAAGGTTAGTTCAATTAAAAGATGTGGAAAAGCAGATGTATGAGTTTCAATATGCTGCAAATAGAATGGTATGTATTTAGAGTCAACAATTGCCAATTGCAAGTTGACTTTCAGCATTTGCAAGTTGATGGTTTCCCCATAACGCTTGGTATACAACAGTCATATCACAACAATCCACTGATCATTCGAAAAACACGCCAAATAATCGCTTTGTACCCTAACAAAAGAACATTAAACGGAATCAACAGGTTTGTGTATCTACCGAGTGGGCTCAACATTTCAACTACACACCGCAAAGCTGACTACCAGACAGTATGTA